TATTTGTATGGAAGAAATTAAAGACATTAATTTTGATTATAAAACCTAGGTAAACACCACAGGAAGTTAAACTTCAAAGTTTTATTGCTCTCTGTAATTATTTTTCTTTTTTAAAAACACTTTTTAGAGTTTTGTTTTTCAAATTATCCTAGTTGTTTTTTGTTTGGGGGGCTTTAAAAGTAGTACTTTTTCCTCATTAAAAAAAAAAAAAGTATCAGTTAACACAGAAAAGCTTGAAGAAAATGGTATTTATCACCTAAAATGCAGTGATGATCTATATCAGCTGATAGTAGTTCCCATGCTTTACCAATCAAGTTTTACCATCAGAAGAGGGTCTGTTCTCACCAGCTGCAAGTGATCATCCCTGGAAAAGGCTATGACTGGTCTTTTTTGCATCTGATGCTAACATACAGACAGTCAATTATACTGGAAAGTAAAGACTGCCATGAGTGGCTCAATTTTTCATGGGGGAACAATTCTGAGGCTGATCTCCATTGTTTAATGTTCATGAAAACAAAAAGTCACATTCAGATCATGAAAGCAGATGGGACATGGGTTTCGCAAAAATGAATAGGATGCTAATTTTATGTATACCCACAATGAAATGACTGATTTGTAGAAATAATGAAAGAAGGCATCTTGACAAAGGTAATGCTTGAGTCAGACCTAACAGTAGTTAGAAAATTTTAGAGGTTTTAATTTTTTTTATTTTTGTAAATGCATGTACTATATAGAAGATTTAAATTTGCTATGTCACAGAATGGGTTTGGGCTTATTAAATAACAAGTTGTAGAATTTGGGGAGAAGAGCTCTGTATATGTGACATAGAGTAAAAGGAAATAAGATTGAGATAATGAATTAAAACAAGATCATTTTGAAAGATCTAGCATATGTTGATGATTTCTCCCCTCATACAAAGCCTTCCTTAAGAATTTGGACTTAGGAATAATTTGAGATCTGTAAGATTGACATGATAGAATATACAAAATAGTTTCTAGTTACTCAAAAATGTTATAAAGCCAATAGCCAAATTTGTCATAAAGGAATCTATAAGTTGTTTTTAGGTTGATTTATTACCAAATTTAAACTCATTTTTTTCAGGTAGAATTGTTTGTGCATTATTGGTGTGACTGAATCATTGGTCTGGAAAATAAAAATTTCTGAGTTCCTTTTTTATAGTGTGACAGTTCAGAATTTGAACAAGAAACTTTGACCAGCTCCTTTTATACATATAAAAAAATTAAATTAAAAATGTCTGGCTTCCTAGAGTGACTAATGTTTCCTTAAGTGATGAAATACACTATCCTTAAATGACCAAATATATTATTAGTTGAAACATAATGCTGGAATTCACTGAAAGTTTCATAAAAGATGATGTGTCAGTTAATAATTATATCTTATCACTGTATCATTTATTTTCTTTAAGAATTATAAGAACAAGGTAGATGAAGTACCATTTCAGCATGTCTTAGCTAATTTAGCAATGCATCACCTATTTTGTCATGCAAGCCTTATAGAATACTTTTGAGCTAAGCAGGTGTCTCTTCTGAATGTCTTTAATAAACTCACTCTTGTATTCTCTGAAGGTTGAAAAGTCTTCCCAACTTCAAACTCTGATTTTCCTACACACCTAAGTCAGTTAATGACTTCATTTTTACTTAAATGATATATTCCCACAAGAAGTTTCACAAGAAGATAATTACCTCAACTTCCTATTAGTCTACCTGCATTTTTCACATCCTCCATCTTACAATCCTCTGAATCCTACCCATACCAACTTCTCAGGAGTCAGTAACTATGGATGACTTCTTGCCCTCCGTCTGTCAATCCATTTTTGGTGGCAATTTCTCAGTTTTTCATATGTAATCTTCCAACATTAAATATATTTTTATTAATTTTTTATTTGTTTTAATTAGTTATATATGACAGTAGAATGCATTTATACACTTTGATATATCATACATAGATAGGATATAATTTCTCATTTTTCTGAATATACGTGTTGCAGAATCTTATTGGTCATGTAGTCACATAAATATATACAGTAATAATGTCAGTTTCATTCTACTATCTTTCCTATCCCACATCCCCTTCCCTCCCTTCCCATCACTTCCCTCTACCTAATCTAAGGTAACACTATTCTTCCCTAGTCCCCCCAGCCTTATTGTGAAAAAGCCACTTTTCATTACCTCATTACCCTGTGGAACTTGAACATATCTAAAGCCCTGTCCTTACATCTGCATTTTTCTCAGCCCATTTATTTCTGCCAAACTACTAAATTAAAAAGATTCTAAATACAATGGAAGCATGGAATAGGCATTAAAATCTTGCCATGGGTACATGAACAGGATGGTAGACTAATTACCTTGTTGTTTTTTGCATCTTCAACTATAGAATGTAAAATAAATCTGTCTGATCAGCTTTCAGGATTTTCACCCTAATCATTTTTTCCTTTTAGCCCAAGCAATAACATTCCTTATCACAAATTATCATCCTTCACAAATATAAAAATATACATACATGTTCATAATTAAAGATAGAAAACTCATTTTGTGGGGAAGGAGAAAGATGGTGCTCACTCACCAATACCTGAACATTTCTTCGACTATCCTCTCACTCCCATTTAATGTAATCTACTAAGAATAATAGTAGGAACAATAATATCTTACTGTAAAAATACTGCCAAATAAATTATTAAAATGCAACCTATAACTATATTCTTCTTATTATAGAAAGCATTGTAGATAAACTATCCATCCAGTCATAACATTAGAAAGGAAACATGTTATTGAAATGTTAGATATAATGCTGTTCTAGATACAAACTAGAATAAAACTGAATTTTAATATATCCGTATTTATTAAGAGTTATAAAAATATAGTAGATGACATATTGTTTTAATATACCATTTAAAACTTTAATAGTATTTCATTTTAAATGATGGAATCATTACTTATGAGCATAATAATCAGAATTATCTCCAGGAATGTCTTTTAGACAAGTTGTAATGATGCTTTTAAAAAATTTACTGAATATACAATAACTTTATTCTCTGCATTTTTAATAATTTACTAGTGGTGTAATTTTTCAAGTTTGTTTACCCATAATGAATTCGAGTACATATGCAAGAAAATGCATTTATATGAAATCAGATACTAGAAGAAAATTGGGACTGTGACAGCTGCCTAAGATTGTTCCTCTAAACAACTACAACACTTCATAAGGCCTCAGCAATTTCAAAAACACAGATCATCATCTTACATTTTGAAAATATGAAAAGGAGGCATATTATAAACATTTTCCCTGTATTGAATATTTTTGACACTTGAACTTTTTTAATAAATCTTTATATCTGTGTTTATTTTTCTTTGTTGATACAGTAGCTTCAAACCAAGGGGAGTTGCTTGCCATCGAATTGGACCGTTTACCTTCAATACATTTGAAGAATCCACTTGTGCTGCAATATTTTATCAGTAATTAAGGTATAGTCTATATACAGAATATTTAATTATTTTAATTAAAAATTCAGTGAGTTTTAACAGCTGACCCACCCACCATCAGCAACTGCCACAGTCAGGTATCAGGATACTCCCTTCACATACACAAACTTCCTTGACCCCTTTACAGGCCACCCAGACAACTACTGATCTGCCTTCTGTCAGTAGAAACTAATTTGAACATTTGTGGTTTGTACACAAAGGAAATGGAGCAGTAAATACTCTTTTGCATGTAGTTCATTGATTTTTGAGACAGACCCAATTTGTTTTGTGATTCAGTATTTCATTCCATTTTGTTGATGAGAAATATTCTATTATGTGACTCTGCAGAATCTTTTTTTTTTTGCGGGGGGTGGGGGGGGCAGTTCTGGGGATTGAACCCAGGGCCTTACACATGTAAGGAAAGCACTCTGCCAACTGAGCTATATCCCCAGCCCCTCTACAGAATCTTTTTCACTCGTTTTTGATGAACATACAGCTGCAACCAAGTTTCACAGTTATTAATAAATCTGTCTTGAGTATTCCCGTATAATTTTTTATATCTTTTTGTAGACACAGACTTTCGTTTTTGTTGGGTATATGACTTGAAGTACAGTCCTTCCTCAAAGGATAGGTGTCTGGTTAACTATAAGAAATTGTAAATTCATTTCCAAAGTGGTAATTGCCTTTTATGTAATCAACAGCAATGGATGAGAGTTCCACTTGCAACTTGTCTTCACCAACAACTATTGTCAGTATTTTTGTGTTCATTCTGCTAATGTGTTAGATGATATATAATTATGGTTTCAATTCATATTTTCCGATACCTAATGATGCAAAGCTATTTTTCACATCCTTCTTTGGCCATGTGTATATTTTTCTTTCTAAGTCTAATTCAATGTCAGAAATAATTATTTATTGTATTTGGATTATGTGTTACTTTGAGTCCTTCAAAAATCATATGCCTGGATGGGATTAGACAGAGAAGTGACTTAAAGGGATAATGCCTGTGAAAGATAAAGGAGAGGGATCCAGAGAAGTCAGGGAGATTTTTAGACTATTATGCTGATTCAACACCCTGCAACGCCATTTTAAAATAGAGGAGTTGATGGGGAATCTTGAAACCAAAGTGTTCCACTAAGGAGTCTCTCATCTCACAGGAATGGGCCTGTATAAGCACTACTGTTGTGCTGCATCACTGCTAGACAGGACATGGAGGAAGCATTATTGCCTCCATACAGATGTTGGGTGGTGCCAGCAAGACAGCAGGTGAAGCTGTCAGTGAATTACAATCTTCCTGGCAGGAGATCATAGCCACCATGCCGCACTGTACTCCACATACCTTCTTTCTGCAGGTTGAAGCAGTTCTCCTACATGCTTGCAAGGGCGTCTCTCTGAGAGAAATTTAGAAGAAGGAGGTTAGTGGAATGGATTATTGCCCTGTTTTACCACTTAGCCCCAGAGTCACAGTGTTACTCATTCTGTTCCACCGGTAGGTACCTGGTCACAAAAAGTCCAAAGACACTAACAATTGCCATAATTTGTGGCCCTTTGGGATCTTTTAAGTGAGTCTGACAAGAGTGTGCAGCACTGGGAGCCACAACCTTCAAGCCAACAGAAACCTGAGTTGTACAGCTGGATGACACAAACCATCCTAGAATTAGGGTTTATGGTATATGGGACAACTTCTGCTTTTCACCTTTTGGTATTCATTTTATTCTTCAGGGCAAAGCACTATATAAAGTTGTTTTAATGCACACATGCAACAGGAAAAACAACACCCATTTTTTAAAGTGTGGTCTCTGAGCAGGCATTTCAGCTGTGCTTTTATAAGGTTGTTTCAGTGCTTTACAGGGTCAGCCATTTCTGGATGGTGCAATAAGTGATAGAACCATGATGCCCAGTGATCATGGGCCACCCATTGGAGGTCCTAGCCAGTGTAGTAAAGAAGAAGAAAAAAATAACAAGCATAAATATTAGGGAAAAATAACGTAAAACTATAGAAAGTTTTAGAGAAACTTTGCATAGAAAGATGTTATCTTCTCAGTAGAAAACATTAATCTACTTAAAACCTATTGAAACTATTAAATTAGTTTTGCAGGGTAACAATTCACAAAAGCAATGTACAAAAATATATTATTTCTATGCAATCATATTAAACATTAGAAATTCTAATTAAAACAATTAGAATAGCACAGAGAGCATGAAATAGTTTAAAATATGTGCAAAATATGTACAGTTAATTTTATAAGACATTGTTGAAAGAAATTATATAAAAATCAACAACAATGGAAATATATAACTTATTCATAGATTGGAAGATGATAGTAGGATCTCATTTTTTTTTCCTAATCTATTGATTTAATTCCTTCCAAGTTCAAATCCTATGGAATTTTTTTTTAATTTTGATAATGTTTTAGTTAGTGTTTTGTTTCTGTGACCAAAATATCTGACAATAACCTAGAAGAGTTTATTTTGGCTCATGGTTTGAGAGGTTCAGTTCATTGTTGGCCAAATCCACAGCTTTGGGCCAGGATGAGACAGAACATATGGTGAAAGGACAGGGTGGGAGAACAGCTGGTCGGTTCATGACAGCCAAGAAGCAAAGAGAGAGCTCTGTTTGCCAGAGACAAAATTTAAACCTCGAACACATGGCCCCAGTGACCTACTTTTTCTAGCCACACAGTACCTACCTATACTCACCTATACCCAGGACAGTTGCAAGTTGCTAAAACATCAAATGGATTAATCCTCTTATTAGATTAGCTCTCAAAATCTAATCATCTCACCTCTGAACATTCTTACATTATCTCACACATGGGCATTTGGGGAATAACCTATATCCAAACCATAGCGGATATTATTTTTCCATTAATTAATGAGCTAAGTCCAAATTCTCATTAAAATGCAAATAGTCTAAAATAGCCAAAATGATTTTCAAAAGTAAGAACAAATTGAAAGTACTCATACAAACTAATTTCAAAAATTATTATAAATTATTATAAAGGAAGTCTTTGCAGTATTGACATAAAATTAGAAAGATGGTGCAATGGAACAGAATAGAAGTAACGGTATGTAAAAAAATTAACTTAAATTAGATCACAACTAAAAATATAATTTTTCTATAAGAAATTATAGAATTATTAAGAAAAGCATAAGAAAAAAATTTGTCCTTGTATTATACAAAGATTTCTTAGATAAAAAAGCATTAGGTTTAAAAATGAAAAAACATATAACATAAAAGAAAAAAATGCACAAATCGGATTTCATCAAAATTTGAAACTTCCCATCATGTGTAACTACAAGAATGGGAAGTTATACTCATGTATGTATAATATGTCAAAATACATTCTACTGTCATGTATAACTAAAAAAAAAAAACAAATAAATTATAAAATGTGAAAAAACTTAGGGAATTGCTAAATGTAAGGGATTGCTTAGCTTAAAAAATTGAATCTTTCATTTTTGAAATATTTTATAAATGAAAAGATAAGAGACATATCAGAGGAAATGGTCCCCTTTCTCATAAAGAGCTTATATCTGGAATTAATAAAGACTACTCATTAAGAAGATAAGCAATTTGAAAATAAGAGTGGGAGAGAAAGACATAAATAAGAAAAATAAACAAATGTCAAAAAAACATTAAAAAAACATTTAACTTTACTAAAAATTAGGAAATACAAATCAAAACCTTAATGAGGTATTGTTACACATACTATAGAGTGGTTAAAATTAAAAAGACTGCTCAAATCAAGAGTTGGTTAATGGTGAGATTGTAAAATAGCACAGTCACTTTGAAAGCTATTTTGACAATTTCTAGTAAAGCAAAATATTTAATTAACAATAATCAGCCAATTCCACTTCTAGACACTTACCCAGGAGAAATGAACACATATGTCCACAACATATGTGCATGTTCATAGAACTAGAAAGTGGAATAAACCTACCTCTACTTGTTTATGCATTCATATGTGACTAAGCATTGATCCATTCATACAATATGGTCCTACCAAGCAACAAAAAGAAACTATGGATACTCTCGATGTTGCTGAATCTCCAAATTATTATGCTGAGTGAAAGAAGCCAATAACAAAGACATTACATTATATAACTTCATTCATGTGTACAAAATTCTAGAAAAGGCCCAACTATAACAGAAAGGACATCAAATATTGAAAGAGTTGGGAGCAGGATATTTACAAAAGGACACAGGGAAATTTGGGGCAATGGCAATTTCCTGCACCTTTATGAAATGTATGTGACTGTATACATCTGCCACATCTCTTCTAAACATTCATTTAAAATAGCTAAATTTTTCTGGGTATATTATAATGCATTAACGGTGATTAAAACCCCAAATGTATTATTAATATTGCCACAATGAACAGCTATGAGGAATTTGATTTAGCTCGAAGTGATGGAAGTACACAGAATACTCCCCAGAATTCTTGACTATGTTTAGGTGATGAGGGCACATGTCCAGTGGCTTCCAAATCTCCTATTATTTGTGACTCAGTGTCATTTATAGCTATATTGGCTCTGAAGAGAAGCTCTGTAGCCCAAAGCAGAAAGATTCCTACTGTTCCAGGGAGCCTGGACTTTTGTCTGAGTTGAACTAGTTGTTTTCAACAAATTTTTTAAAACTAGTAGTATTTATGTATGTTGGGCATTCAGCTGAATTTATTCAACAATGTTTTATTTGGCCACTTGTGTTGATGAATATGTATGTGTGTGTGTATGTATGTATGTGTATATATATATATGTGTATATATATATACACATACATACATACACACACACATGCAATAAATATTTACGCACACAGATCTATCCCAAGGAGAGCTTCTTATATGTAACACTGTGCATATTCAAATGAGGTAACTACCGACAAAAGCAAAGAAACTAATTATTTAGTTTATATAGCCTCAGCACAAGTAAATATGCAATTTTCATCAGTGAATTTGAAATAATTGAAAACCAGTTAAAGAAATTTTTCCACCCCTAACTATTGCTTATCCTTATGGTTCTATCTACCCATGGCATCAAGTATCTAATCCTTAAAGAACTTCTCACAAATTTCTCATTATCTGATTTTATGTCACTTGCTCTTCAAAGTTAAATTAAAACCAAAGAAACCAGGTATCTTATAGTTTTTGTGCTACAATAGTATTATTGCTAGGTTAATATAAATAAATATTATTAGGACACAATTCAATTCCATTTAGCATAAAAATTGAACTATATATTTCCAAAGTAAACATAATCTTAAGAACAGATCAGAACTGCTTTGTATTCGATCATTTGCTAGTTCCAAGAGATATTTAAGTATATCATTAGTTTTCTTCCAGTGTTTCAAACTTTATCAGATAAAAGGCACATTGAAGGGATTTGGTTTTATCTTTCATACATTCAATAAGTACAGTTTTCCAACATTCTGTAAAACCTTTGTGCTTTATGTGTCCTTATTTTCATAAATAAAATATGCTGTGTGCCCATATGAAAAATATAGAAAATTGAAAACTTGAGATCAAACCAAATAGAGGATTATTCTATGAGATACTGGGGTTTTTGAGAATAGCAATGATTTTTAAAAAATGAAGCCAGTCTGTAGCATGTGTTATGGTGCCCAATGCTCCCCACTTCCTAGTATATTTTTTCCCTTGTGAAATCTATTCACCTAGACCTAGTGACTTGCACTCAATTAATTGAACACAGAAAAAATGATGAATGTCACTTGTGAGATTTACTCTTGCTCTCTTAATTGCTTTTTTGGAGGGAAGCCAGTAACCATATTTTTAGCTATACTATGGAGAAATCACATGGCAAAAAATGAACTGAGGGAAGATTCCAGTTAACAGTCAGTAAAAAGCTAATGTCTACTAGCAGGCATGTGAGTGAACTTGGAAGTGGATCTTCTGAAGCCTGCCAATAGTCATTTGAATCATCTTGAAGGAAGATCCTCACCCAGTTGACCCTTGAAATGACTACAGCCCTGGTCACCAACTTCATTCCAACCTTCTGAGAGACATAGCCCAGGGACACAAAGCTAAGCAACACTGAGATTCGTGACCCAGATATGTTTTTTAGTTTCTAAGTTTGGGGGTTAATTTGTTACACAGCAATTCTCACTGATGAATCACTCACATGAGAGAACTAGTTCATAGACAACGGCATCAAATACCAAGGTTCATTTCTGCACTAAAGAGAATGAAGCTTCAGCAATTTTATTCAGTGTTTTGTACCAAATAAAGAGAAAGACATTTAATGCAGATTTCTGTATATATCAGTATTAGCTCATTTGTTTTAACTGAGAGTTTAGCTATTTTAGGCCAATCTTAATTGTTTGGGTATTCTATTAATAATGTCTTGGCTCATTTATTGTAAACATGCAAAAAGAGGCTAATTTTTTTGAGGAATAATGTGGTTACTCATAAATAGATAAATAGACACCTGAAAAAGAGCTTGATAATACCTACCTTCTAACTTTCTTTTACTAATCACTTGACCAAAACTGAGGTTTCTCAGGAGAAAATAAAGATAAGCAAATATTCATTACAACATTGGATGATCAGATATTCTAGTTTGCACAAAATGACTCAGACAAATGCCAGAAACACACTGGGAGCCTGTGACCTTTCAAAGGTGCTTTGCTCACCAAGTAGTGTGTATCTATTGTAAAGTGTTTGTGTAGCTTTGAGAATCACCAGTGCAGAAATGGCCTGCCTGGCTCTTATCATCAGATCCTTATTATTTTTAATAGCTAGGTTTTCTAACAACCAATGTGCATATTCACTTCCAATTGAGATTTTATCATCAGACTCGGCTTAAGGAAAGTGAGTTATTTTGAATCCTATTCATTGCAGTCTCTACATCTCATTGCTGTGATATTGGGCACCAGTTTTATTTTCTCAGTTTTTACTTTGTGCCTACATTCTTCCTCTACCCAAAGTCTTTTCAGTTTTCAAACTGTATCATAAATGTTTGTATGCATTGTGTAAACTTTTGTCACCTTTTTATCTACCCCTCCATGCAAAAAGAATTACTAATTTGTCAATACCAAGACATGTTTTTAAACTCCTCGGGGACAGAGGAAATTACTGAATCAATTAAAAGTCTGGAGTACATTCAATTTGGTTCAAATGCAAAGGGTTTCTCTGATGACACGTTTTAATTCTATTTCTCTCTTTGACACTGCATTTCTTTCCCTTTTATTTTCCTGATTTTTTTTCCTACACCACTGTGTGATTTTGTGTAAGAATACCCACTAGATGAGCCTTCTTCTGGAAATATGCATCCACTTGTATTTTCAATGCACAAAATTGGGATCCCTTTCATGTGTCTATTGTGACACTTCAGTGACCTAAATGCTTGGGTATATAAATTAACCACTGACAACTCTCTGTCTTTTCCTATCAGTTGCCATAAACTACCTAATTACTAAACCTGATCCTGTTGTTTTTGGCCCAAGGCTATCCTGAGCTATGCTGTCTTTATCTGTTCAGTAACTCTCTACCATCAGCTGATTGCTTTTCCTGGTATGTAGTAATTATTATATCTGGTTTTCCATAGGCATTGAACCAACATATTTTCCAAAAATTACTTGAGTGACTGTTCACCTCCCTCTAATTTTCTGAGTTTATCTTTCTCAGAGCACCAATACTTTCACCAAAAAATGAAGGGTTAAAAACTCTAAGTATATACAGTTTTATTAAGAATAATTGAAGTAACCAAAAAACATGTCTTAGCTATTTTTAAAATTGGCACATTAAAAATGCCAAATGCCTTCCAATTCGGCAATTAGGTTATAAAAATTAAATCATGAGCCTTATATTTTACATCAGTTTTTTTTTTTTCTCAGTAGGGAATATTGCAATTGACATTTAGGCAAAATAAGAAAGAGTATATGAGGCATGGGGCAGCACAAAGAAATAATTTATTATCAAGCATATTACATTACACACTCCTCTAACATTAAATTAAAACATAGTTTATGAAGAAATATGAAGTGAGGGATTTTACATGCTAGAAGAATTAGGCGAGAAGAAACATTATGGAATCATACATGTGAGTGTGTGTGTGAGTGTGTGTGTGTGTGTGTGTGTGTGTGTGATGATACATAAATAATTTACAATAGAAGTGTAAAGGTCGGGTGAGCGTCGGAGGAAGAGACCACCAAGAGACTGTCTCATGCAACAGCAAAGGGTTTATTGGGGGTCCAGCATGCTGGGGCTCAGAGCTCACTTGAATAGAGCAAAGAGCCCTGAGAACAGCTTAAGCAGAGCTTATATACTTTCCTTGGAGAGGGCAGGGAGGGAAGTTCATTGATGGGTCAGGGCGAGTGGGCGGTTTGCCTGCAACCAAGTGAGGGAGTACATTCTACAGTTTGGCAGTTGGGGACAGCACATTCTGGGAACAAGATTAGCAAACAGTTCTCAAGATTTCAACAGTGTTTTGTTAAGCATACAGAAAAATGGAGTGACAAGTACCTATTTTATTAACCTTTCATTCCCCACTTCTTCTTCTGGCTACTTTTAATCATAAAAGTGATCATTGGGGGGTGTCACATTCTATGTCTGCTAGTGGGGTATATTGTTGTCTGATTACCATAAGTTTAACTTGTTCAATTTGAGCTTGGAGAAAGGAAACTACACGGTTGAGCAAACAGGGTCCTACAGTTAGCAATAATATGAGGATTATTAATGGACCAGCCAGGGCTGATAAAAGCGTAATTAACCAGGGGGACTGTGTGAACTAAGACTCAAACCACCCTTTTTGGGTTTCTCTCTCTCATTGACGCTCTTCAAGGCGTCTTTTTAATTTACTCATAGATTTTTTTTTTTTACAACTCCAGTATGGTCAGCATAAAAACAACATTTTTCCTCAATGCAGCACAAAGGCCCTCTTCTCTCATGAAGAAGAGGTCCAACCTTCGCCTGTTCTGTAAACAACTTCAGAGAGAGAGGTTAAAATTCCTGCAAAGCTGTGATGGAGGTTTCTAATATCTTTAAGTTTTGGTCTATTGCTGTTTTTCAATTGGGTCATTTGTTGTGTCCCATGGACCAGGGCAGTGGTTCCTGTGCCCACCCCTGCAGCAACTCCTATTCCTAATAGGATGGCTAAAGTGAGGGATACAGGTTCCCAGTGGAACCGGGTTGTATGCCCCCCTATTTGATCTTCAAATGAACCTGCGTCATGATAGAGCACTCTGGGAAACATCTGCACCATTATATAATTAATTACATCTGTTGACCATTTTATGAAAACATAAACAATGTTTAAGTATATAGAATTATACTGTTGTAGGGACGGACAAGGCAAGGTACCTAAGATAGCACCGAAGACAGGGAAACAGTACTATTTGGTTGCAATCGGATTCAGAGGGCATTGCTTCTGTTGTAATCAATTAATCCCCTGAACCCCAAGTTTAGGTAGTTTCAGAATTTTGTACCCAACATGTAAGGGAAGGGGCTCAGAAGTTCACAGTCTGCAGAAGTTTATAAAAAGCAGTTTTTGTTTGTTTTTTTCCTCTGTTCTGGGCAAGTTAACTTTTTAAGGACATCTGGGAGGGGGAGAGCTTTTTTTTTTTTTCCTTTCTTTTCTCCCCCTGCCAGCTGTTACCATGGAGCCCAGTTGGTAACTTCTTTATCTTAGAAATGTAGCCATCTCTGTGAAGCCCCAGCTCAAGGCCAGAGGCCTTGTTCACATATTTTGTGAAAAACTAGCAAGGGGGTGTCTAGCTTAGGAGTGCTGATTTTTTAGCCAGTGGCCAAGTAGAACAGGGAAACACGAAAAGAGGAAGTTTATCTACACTGAACTCTTTTATAGGGACTCTTTTGCTGAAAGTCTTAAAGTTAGCCATGGTGAAGACTTCTGGAGAAGATCAGTTAAGACTTTTCTGTGGGCCTGGTACAGAGGGGGAAGACGGGGAAGGCGGGGCTGAGAGCAGCTCCGTGGATCTGAGAGTGAGGAAGGAGAGATGTAAAAGAATAATGGGAAATGGGTTTGGGATTTTCCTAGCAACAAAAACTTGAGTAGTAGAACAGGTAGAGCAGAAGGGAAGACGGGAGTGAGTATCCCAAAAAGCCTGTGAGGGACTTTAAATTCTTAGTAACCTGTTTTCAGTGATGACAAAGCAACTTTAAAGGCCATTTTCATTACATCTTGGATAGGGGTCTGAGGGCTCTCCTCAGCTGGTTTGAGCTTTGGGTTAGCTGGTAAGAGGACCTGGTGGGACTCGGTGCAGGCACTGACAGGAGAAGAGAGGAGTGAGTGGGTGGAGGGGTACCTCAGTACTTGCTACCTCAGCAAGGGAGCAATGGTCTGAGAACCGGCAGAGGTTTGGGTTCCATTAGGCAGTCCCTGTATGCTCACATCCCCATGACTTACAGAAGAAGTCAGTTTTTCCCCCACACAGCCGTGACTGTTTGCGGCTTCGATAGTCCGCCGGGCAAACATAGTAATCTATGCTAGCCAACCTACATCTGGCTTGCGTGTCTCTACATCCATAATGTTTGTTTCCATTATCTATGGTATGGAAGGGATTTAATGAAATTTTAGTGGGATCCTCTTCATCGGGGATATCCCAATAGGAAAGACCCATAGCCAACTGACAAATGTCTGGGTGGAGAGATGGCCACCAGGTCCCTAAAGGAGCTGTATGCGAGATAGACCATACTTCCTGTCCAGTAGGATTTGTGATCAGCCATCGCTGCTGAACGGGCTGATGAGGGTTAGGACTACTGGTGGTCAAGGGGAGAGTCCATAGCCCTATCCACACGGCGAATACGCAATTTGAGAGGGTTACCAGTCTTTTCCAATTTCCAGCCAGAGTCTGGACAGGGCGCAGGCTTGCGATGAGAGGCATGGATCCTGGATCCAACATGGCGGAGAGTGGGGAGGCAGCGCTTTCAGTACCTCCGCAACAACGGGGTCAGAGAGACGCATGGATACGCTTAGATTCGACCTGCTGAGAAACTCCTAGCAAAATTCCACTAAAGAGAGACCGGCCGGGAATTGGTAGGATCTTTGGAGGTGACAGTTTGCCCTAGACGAGTGAATCTCCGCCACGCAGCGCAGAGGTCCAGACCCGCGAGCTGCTGCCCGCGCGACTCGGCGACTGTCGGCTGCCTGCACGCAGCCCCGTGTCTAGGCGGATAGCCTCCGAGGCGCAGCGCAGCAGGAGCAGTGCAGGGACTCTAGGAAGAGGGCTCTCGCCAAGCCTTCATGAAATAGCGAACCAGGAGCTGAAACCAACCAGAGACAGACCAGTCCCACCCCTCCCTTCGGACACTCCAGCAAGGAGCCTGGGGCCCGCCATAGCAGACAGGTGACATCACCAGAGTTCCGCCGACGGAATTCCTTCCCAGCGGAATCCACGTTAGCAGGTGTGTGACTCCCACCCCCTCCAGATACAAGCAGCCAGGAAACCTCGGGAATCTCTCCGGGGGTGTGTCTGTAGGGAAGCAGAGGGGATTCCATATCCCCACCTCCCCTTAACACCAGCGGCGACACCCAAGATCTTAGCCACCAGTTTCTGGGGGGCGTGCCCACCAAAGGGGTCCGGAAAAATTAAACTGTTGGTTCCCAGATCACCCCACCACAGCACTGGGGCTTAGATGAATGACAGAGAGGGTGTTCATCATTCGGGATATAGGACACGCGGTGGGGCTGCAAGTGTAATCAGACCCTTGGGGAACCGCCTCCGGTGAACAGGACCTGGCTGGCTGGCTGGGAGGAGGAACAGGGGGAGGGGCCGGATAAGTGAAAGGGCTCTGGACTAACAGGATTGAGAGACTCCCAGGAGCCACCTTACAGGGATTTCTGTCAGCACATAGAGGGCAGAAGCTCAGCTCGGAGGGCACAGCTCCGCCTATTGGAAGAGAAGAAAATGGGATTCAGCCATAGAACAGGGGATGCCAGCATGGCAGAGATCTGATGTCATCGGAGAGCGGCCGAGGAGAGAACTTCATCGGTGCCAGCGGCGACGGAAACAGTTGGTCAACTGGTAGGGAGGGTGAGTCACAGATACCCGAAGGGGAGGAGCGGGGCCGCCGCCCGCGCCCACAAGGTAGGCAGACCTGTGACCAACCTGCAGATCAGGCCCAGCGGACTGCGGGCGTGGTAGGAGGGGCAGGGCAGAGCCGCCGCCCGCGCCGGCAAGGTAAGCAGACCTGCGACAGACCGGCGGATCAGGCCCAGCGGCCTGCCAGCGTGGTACACACTTCACCCCAACTGGAGTAGGGGCAGAGCACAGCCTTCGCCCGCGCCCAGATCAGGCCCAGCGGCCCGCCTGTGTGGTGGTCACGTGACCCCAATTGGAGTGGGGGCGGAGAGGAACTGCCACCCGTGCCCGCAAGGTGGGCAGACCGGCGACTAACCTGCAGATCAGGCCCGGCGGTCCGCGGGCATAGTAGGAGGGGCAGGGCAGAGCCTTCGCCCCCGCCTGCAAGGTAGGCAGACCTGCGACAGAACGGCGGATCAGGCCCAGGAGTCCGCGGGCGTGGTAGACACCTCACACCAATTGGAGGAGGGGCAGAGCAGAGCCGCCGCCCGTGCCCGCAAGGGAGACTTTTCAACTATACAAGAGCAATATAAATATATAGGGGGGGGGAAATTTTCAAAAACACAATAGTTTCACCAAGAGAAAGAAATGCAAGCAGTATGAAAAGACAAGGAAAGAAAGGACCACAAGCAATGCAGGTCAACTCAACTTTAGAAGAGGTAACAGCTGCAGCAGATGGAATGTCAGATAAAGAATTCAGGATATATATGCTTCAGATGATCTGGAGTATCAAGGAAGACATTAGACAGCAAAATCAGACAATGAAAGATCACTTCGACAAGGAATTACACAAACAAATCCAGGAAGCAAAGGATCAACTATACAGGGAGATAGAGGTTATAAAAAACAAACAAACAGAAATCCTAGAAATGCAGGAAGCAATAAACCAACTTAAAAACTCAATTGAGAATACTACCAGCAGAGTAGAACACTTAGAAGATAGAACATCAGACAATGAAGACAAAGTATTTCAACTTGAAAAGAACATAGACAGCTCAGCAAGACTGTAAATAAACCATGAGCAGAACATCCAAGAAATATGGGATAACATTAAGAGACCAAAATTAAGAGTCATTGGGATACAGGAAGGTATAGAACTCCATACCAAAGGAATGAGCAATTTATTCAATGAAATAATACGAGAAAACTTCCCAGACTTGAAGAATGAGACAGAATCCCAAATTCTAGAAGCCTACAGGATGCCGAATGTGCAAAATTATAAGAGATCCACACCTAGACACATTATAATGAAGATGCCCAACATACAGAATAAGGAGAGAATTTTAAAAGCTACAAGAGAAAGGAAGCAGATTACATTTAGGGGTAAGCCAATCAGGATAACAGCTGATCTTTCAACACAGACTCTGAAAGCTAGAAGATCCTGGAATAACATATTTCAAACACTGAAAGAAAATGGGTTCCAACCAAGAATTGTGTATCCAGAGAAATTAAGCTTCAGGATGGAAGATGAAATTAAAACCTTCCACGACAAACAAAAGTTAAAAGAACATGCAGCTAGAAAACCATCTCTTCAAAACATCCTCGGCAAAACATTACAGGAAGAGGAAATGGAAAATAACAATGAAAACCAACAGTGGGAGGTAGGACAGTAAAGGGGGGGGAATAATCAAAGAGGAAAACAAACCATGTTTAGTAACATAAATAAACAAATATGGCTGGAACAACAACCCATATCTCAATAATAACCCTAAATGTTAATGGCTTAAACTCACCAATTAAGAGACACAGGCTAGTAGAATGGATCACAAAACAAGACCCAACAATATGCTGCCTACAGGAGAAGCATTTGATAGGAAAACACATACATAGGCTGAAGGTGAAAGGTTGGGAAAAATCATATCACTCATATGGACTTTGGAAACAAGCAGGAGTGTCCATACTCATATCAAATAAAATAGATTTCAAGCCAAAGTTAATCAAAAGGGATAAAGAGGGACACTACATACTGCTTAAGGGAACCATACACCAACAAGACATAACAATCATAAATATATATGCCCCAAACAATGGTGCAGCTATGTTCATCAAACAAATTCTTCTCAAGTTCAAGAGTCTAATAGACCACCATACAATAATTATGGGAGACTTCAACACACCTCTCTCGCCACTGGACAGATCTTCCAAACAAAAGTTGAATAAGGAAACTATAGAACTCAATAACACAATTAATAACCTAGACTTAATTGACATATATAGAATATACCACCCAACATCAAGCAGTTACACTTTTTTCTCAGCAGCACATGGATCCTTCTCAAAAATAGATCATATATTATGTCACAGGGCACCTCTTAGACAATATAAAGGAGTAGAGATAATACCATGCATCCTATCTGATCATAATGGAATGAAACTGAAAAATCAATGATAAAAGAAGGAAGGAAAAAGCATACATCACTTGGAGAATGAACAATAGGTTACTGAATGATCAATGGGTTATAGAAGACATCAAGGAGGAAATTAAAAAATTCTTAGAGATTAATGAAAACACAGACACAACATATCGGAATCTATGGGACACATTGAAAGCAGTTCTAAGAGGAAAATTCATTGCTTGGTGTTCATTCCTTAAAAAAAGAAAAAACCAACAAATAAATGATCTCATACTTCATCTCAAAATCCTAGAAAAAGAAGAGCAAAACAACAGCAAAAGAAGTAGAAGGCAAGAAATAATCAAAATCAGAGCTGAAATTAATGAAATTGAAACAAAAGAAACAATTGAAAAAATTGACAAAACTAAAAGTTGGTTCTTTGAAAAAATAAACAAAATCGACAGACCCTTAGCCATGCTAGCGAAGAGAAGAAGAGAGAGAACTCAAATTACAAGCATACGGGATGAAAAAGGCAATATCACAACAGACACTTCAGAAATACAGAAGATAATCAAAAATTATTTTGAATCCTTATACTCCAATAAAATAGAAGATAGTGAAGGACAAATCCTCTGAAATGGAAATGAGGACAACCACTCCATTCACAATATCTTCAAAAAAAAAAAAAAATACTTGGGAATCAACCTAACAAAAGAGGTGAAAGACTTATACAATGAAAACTACAGAACCCTAAAGAGAGAAATAGAAGAAGATCTTAGAAGATGGAAAAATATACCCTGTTCATGGATAGGCAGAACTAATATCATCAAAATGGCGATATTACCAAAAGTTCTCTATAGGTTTAATGCAATGCCAATCAAAATCCCAACGGCATTTCTTGTAGAAATAGAGAAAGCAATCATGAAATTCATATGGAAAAATAAAAGACCCAGAATAGCAAAAACAATGCTAAGCAGGAAGTGTGAATCAGGCGGTATAGCGATACCAGACTTCAAACTATACTACAGAGCAATAGTAACAAAAACAGCATGGTACTGGTACCAAAACAGGCGGGTGGACCAATGGTACAGAATAGAGGACACAGAAACCAATCCACAAAACTACAACTATCTTATATTTGATAAAGGGGCTAAAAGCATGCAATGGAGGAAGGATAGCATCTTCAACAAATGGTGCTGGTAAAACTGGAAATCCATATGCAACAAAATGAAACTGAATCCCTTTCTCTCGCCATGCACAAAAGTGAATTCAAAATGGATCAAGGAGATTGATATCAAATCAGAGACACACCGTCTGATAGAAGAAAAAGTTGGCTACGATCTACATACTGTGGGGTCAGGCTCCAAATTCCTCAATAAGACACCCATAGCACAAAAGTTAATAACTAGAATCAACAAATGGGACTTACTCAAACTAAAAAGTTTTTTCTCAGCTAAAGAAACAATAAGAGAGGTAAATAGGGAGCCTACATCATGGAAACAAATCTTTACTCCTCACACTTCAGATAGAGCCCTAATATCCAGAGTATACAAAGAACTCAAAAAATTAGACAATAAGAGAACAAACAACCCAATCAACAAATGGGCCAAGGACCTGAACAGACACTTCTCAGAGGAGGACATACAATCAATCAACAAGTACATGAAAAAATGCTCACCATCTCTAGCTGTCAGAGAAATGCAAATCAAAACCACCCTAAGATACCATCTCACTCCAGTAAGATTGGCAGCCATTATGAAGTCAAACAACAACAAGTGCTGGCGAGGATGTGGGGAAAAGGGTACACTTGTACATTGCTGGTGGGACTGCAAATTGGTGCAGCCAATTTGGAAAGCAGTATGGAGATTTCTTGGAAAGCTGGGAATGGA